TGGGAGGCAAAGAGGACTAGAAAAGTTAGAATTCAAGTCAAGCCTGAGGCAATCTACCCATCAAATCAAAAGTTAAGAGCAAGCAAATCAAGAGCCAAAAATTAAAGCCTGATTCAAAAAACTATGATGAAGACCTATGATGAAGTATACACTCGCAGATGTAAACTACAAAATCTTATGAGTATCTAGGTTAAAGGCAATATTTAGTCGTGGGTTGCAAGATATACCCTTTCAATTTTGTAAAATTTGTTATGAAGAAAACAGTTATGAAAGAGTTGTAGATGTTACTCGAATACATGTAAAGAATACAGTTTGAAAGTTTAAGAATATAAAACTTCTTCAAGTTATTCTAAGAAATATGTATGTTCCTACTTCTTCTTTCGTATGTTTACACCAATATGAAGTTGAGACGTCTTCTTCATTAAGTGTCTTATATAAAGGGCCCTCTTTTATTATTCGTGCTTATTCAAAAGTGTCACGAAGCATTGAAGCATTTTTAAATGCAAAAGTTAAAATAACAAAGGGTAAAACAAAAACCCAAACATTAAAATAGGTGGAAAATAAAGCCCAAACTTATAAATATAAGACAAGGGTAAACCGCTATGAGAGTAGAACAGAAACTCAAAACAAAGATATTATAAGAGTTAGACAAAAACTTTATAATATTATAAACTTGGTTAAAACTAAGTATAAAACTTAGTTCCAACCTGATTATTTGATACTAAAAACCCCAAAACGGACTAGGGGGAAAACTTTTCAAACATTACTAAACCCACAAATAGGACCAGGGGTAAACTTCCAAACATTCCACCAATAAAAAAACGAAACAACACTTCAAACTTTTCAAACTTTCACTGTGGGGCAGAATCTGAACCAGTAGGATGAAGAATGGGATCATCAGAAGCAGGAGGAACAACTTGAGCGAAAGGAGATTGAACAACAGCTTCACTAGGAGTAACTTCATCACCCTCAGGAATGTCAGTCGCGGGTGAAGAAAAGCTCTGACTTTGTTGGGTTTTCTCAATAGTTTCTTTGATCTTTGCAATCTCAGCAGATAAGTTAAAGCCTTCCCGGCTTGCCTCCATTAAAGTGTCATGGCGTGTGTTCAAGAAAGCCCAACTAACTTCAACAGCGGCCTTATCTTCAAGAGCTTCGTAATCTCTTTCCCACTACTCAATCCTCACTTCTTAGCTCTTCCTTCTCATTCAAGGTTGCATCATAAGAAGCCTGTAAGGGGGAAAGTGAACTCTCTAAAAATTGAACTCTGTTAGAAGACTCTCCGAGGTCTTCTTGAGCTTGGGTGAGCGTTTGAACAAGCTCACCAGCGTAAACTTCTTTCTGGTTCAATAGTTCCTTCAGACCCCTATTCTCTTCAGTGGCTTTAGAAAGTTGTTCAACAAATGAAGACTCGAGAAGGTTTTTATCTTTGCCCGCCTGATTAGAAGAGGCTCTCTCAACTTCCAATTCTGCTGCCATTACTTTCACCTGTTGCTCCAAGGTACACTTTTCTTCTTCTAAGATTTCTTTTTCAAGTTGAAGACCATCGAACTGCTCTTTCCAGTTGTTTGCCTCGATGTGATAATCGTTCATTAACTACTCTGTGTGAACAATCCTCTTCATCATCTCCGTGCCAATGAGGTTGATCTACAAAAAGAAAAGAAAAATGTGATACCAATGAAAAGGAAATCACGTACAAAATTAAAAGCTAAGTCTTATACCTTTAAAAATGAGTGTACAATATCATTCATCCACGTTAAAGAACAATGGCTCTCTAATTTTGACTTCTCAACTAGGCCAATCAATGGTTTCAGTCATACATCAGCTTGGCTAGATTTCTTCAAAAGATTACCATCCTCAGGAACCTCGATGGTAACTTTTTTCATTGCCCTACTAGAGGAACCAACTTCAGTATGAGAAGTTGTAACAGTAGGAACAGTTGAGGGAAGTCAAAATAGCCACGGGCGGAGCAGTGGTAGTAGAACCAGGTGCAGGGAGCTGAGGATCGATTGGAACAGACACGGGAAAAGAAGCAAGAGGCGTTTCTTCAAAAACAAAGCCAAAGTCTTCATCAAACCCACGTGAAAAGAGTTGTTCAGTAGAACCACGGGAAGCAGCAAGTATCTCATCATCAGAACTCACTAAGGTAGCACCTTCAGGTTCGTGCATGGGAACAAAACTGGGAGGAGTAGTAGTTTCATCATTTGAAACGATACGTCTCCTAGCTCGAGGCTTACGAACCAATGAGCCTCGCCCTCTCCTCTTCACTCTCAGAACTGGGTGCTCTATCAGCTTTTCTTTTTGATGAGGAACTCAAGATTATCTCTTGAGCCATTGACATAGAGAGTCTCGAAGCAGAAATTGATGCAGCACTCACACTCCGAATGGGAAACCCTAATAAAGAAAAGGGTTAAATAAGTGCTCAAATAAGTACAAAATCAAGGTAGAAAGTGGAAGAGAAACATACCATGAGTCTTCACTTTCCATCCAAACCTGTTAGAAAGGTATTTCCAGGACCTTTCTCCCATAGGAGCAACGGTTAACAATTTTCTACCCAACCACGGAAATCTGGGACTTCCTCAACAGCTTCCATGTTTGCTGAAATTGAAAAATAAAATAGCTATGGGGTTTCAGGTTCTTCACAAAAAAAAAAGAGAAATAAAACGAAACTTATGTGCAAAGTTCCATTTTCTGGGAAAGGCATGTTCTCTTCTCCCACTAACCCACTTGTGGGAGCAGCAACGAATCGGGCATACCAACCATGATCCTTGTCATCTTCAGGGCTCACTAAAACCCTCTTACTCCTAGCCACAAGAGTAAACACCCCAGAACAAAATAACTTGGGGGAATAAAGATGAATCAGATGATAAAAGGTGAAGGGTAAAGCGGCCAAGTTTGACAAGTATCTAAGGCATGCCACAACCCTCCATATAATAGGACCAGTTTGTCCTAAACAAACATTGAAGAAACGACAAAACTCTATGATGACTGGGTTAATGGGAGGTCTAAAACCCAACGAAAAGGGATATGTATACACAAAGAATAGCCAGCTTTGAACGAGGTGATTCTATGATTTGCATTGGGAACTAAAATTGGGAAATTAAATTTCCAATGACAGTCTCTCCGCACAATGGAAATCAAACCCTCAGTAATCTAGGAAGGGTGTCATGAGAAGTCATGGAAGTGATTTGATTCCTAGTCGATTCTCTATCAGTAAAGAAGGAAAGTTCAGCAGGAATGATTTCATCAATAGTGGGTTCACGAAGTGGCTCACTAGAATCCCTACTTCTAACAGAAGATCTGTGTGAAGAAGAAGCCCTAGTTCTAGAAGACGACGGAGGAGTGATACTGGGATGAGAAGAAGAACTACGGATAGAAACAGACCCTAAACTGCGTAACCTGCCACCTCTTCTACTTCTAGTATGAGCAGAGGAAGGGGGAAGATCATCCACCATAACAACTTTATGAGGATCAGGATTTGAAGAAGACATAGTTGTATGAGAAGGAAATACGAGATGAAGAACGAGAACTATAGAGAACAAAGAACACTGTAGAAAGTTTTTCGTAAAAACAAAGGCAAATGAGGTATTTATATGAAGAAGCAATCGTCATGTAAAGGGGGTAATGATGGAAATGTCATAATGAAACAGTCACTTCATGATTGATGCAGCCGTAAAAAAGCCCTAGAAATCGCTGAAGAGTTGCAGATCCAATTAACGAATACCACGTGGCACATGCATTAAATGAAAGTGACGGATGACATGTTGGTTCTGAAGAAGACGTAATGATACATGGGAAACGGCGGCAAAAATTCCCGTCATAAATACATACCACTTCCCAAATATTCAATTGCTGAATATTCGGCAAGTGGGTGGACTAATTGTATTGGTAAAAATAAATATTACACGTGGATTTATGTGAATGGCTGATAAGACAAGACACGTGGATCATTGAGAAAGCGACAACTGGAGAAATGCATTAAAAGAAGCACGAGTCGTAACAGATACGAGCAAATCACCCACGAGAGGAGGAGATATGGTCGTTCGAGTTTAAACAATTCCATGAAGAGGTACCGGCGGAATAAATCGAGACAATAAAAAGGAAAGATTCGTGAATCAGCAATTAATGAGCGTGAATGATCTCAAACGGTACGGAATCTTCATGAACAGTTACGATTACCAATTATAACGTCTCATTAATATCATTAATGCTCATAATGATTCGGTCATAAAAGGAGAAAGACGTTATACTCATAGATTCTATAAAAAGGAAAGAGATATCATTTGTACAAACACGTTTTGATTATTATTGGAATACAATTACTTTCTTTTGCTTACTATTGGCTATTTTTGCTATCTCATATTCTAATTTCCTTTCTTATCCTTAAGTAAATATAGAATTTCTTGGTTATCAGTACCCCGAGTACTTCTTATAGTAAGTTTTGACCGAATTAACCAATTTTTGGTTAAACAGGTATACACCCTATTTCTTGACTACCTCACTGTATTTATAAATATAGTTGCGCGAATACATGGAATACGGCACAGTAGCAACGAAATTTATGTAGAAGTAATTTTGTTGAGTTAAATTAGGAGTGATACACGCTAATTGATCCTCTTTCCATTATTAAACAACTGGGTTCCACTATTTTTTAGGCAAATTCCGCTACTGTATTCATGAATACAGTAGCACGAATATAGCTAATACTGTAGCACGAATACGGTCGCACAGCTGGACTCCCCTATTTTTTAGGCGAATTTCACTACTGTATTCATCAATTCAGTAACGTGAATACCTCGATACAACCGCGTAACAATTAACTAGTAGCTATAGGAAGTAATTATGTATATGATAGCTATGAGAAGTTAATAGCCACTAAATAATAGTGGTTTGTGTAAATTCCACACAAATGAATGGGAATTTCCAGCTTAAGGCCTTGGTATATCAACTATGGGCCAAAGGCCTTCTTACTGAGAAATTACTTTTGTATGCTTCTGGGCTTTGGGGTCCATTTAAGGTTATCAATAGTTCACCTTTCTCCTGGGCCACCCACTATCTATGGCAACAATATGGGCAGCACCACCCACCACCAACTACCAAAACAACCACCCCCACCCACCACCGCCATTCATCTCTGCCACCGTCCTCCCCACCCACCCCTCCCCCTCCACATAAATCCACCACCCCCCACCATCCAAATCCCTATTTCTCCCAACACCCAAAAATAACATTTCCACATAAACTCAATATCCATGGCTAGCTCCTCCTCTTCTCCCCCACCACCCCTCCTCCTCCCACCCCCTGAATCAACCCACCCCCAGCCCCAAATCTCCCCATCACCCCAGAAAAAAACCCAACCTCTCCCATGGACCCATCAGGAAACTTTCAATTTAATTCAAGCTTATCAAGAAAAATGGTACTCTTTAAAAAAAGGCCAGCTCAAAGCTAGCCAATGGGAAGAAGTAGCCATTACAGTAGCAGCTCGTTGCGGATTCGATGAGCCGTCAAAATCCGCCACTCAATGCCGTCACAAGATCGAGAAGCTCCGAAAACGTTATCGGGCCGAAAGACTCAAACCCTACCCGAATTCATGGCAGTATTTTGACCTAATGGATCGTATGGAGCGTGGGCCTTTACCTATTTCGGCCCATCCTGTTGCCATGGTGAAATGTCAACAGAATTCGAATTCGATTTCGAATCTGAATTCTACTGCTGCTGATCATCAGAGGTATTATTATGATAATAATACTGATAGTGATGAAGTTGATGCCGTTAGTTATATGGATATGAGGAAAAATAAGTCTAAAAGTATTAATCATATTGTTCGTGGCGAAATGGGCTTAATGTGTATGAATGGGAATGAGAATGTGAATGTTGTTGACCATAGAAATGTCAATAGGATGGTGAAAGATCGAAATTTTAACATTCTTGATCAAAAAGATCGAAACTTTGACGTAATGAAAGGGATAAGGAATCCAATGAATGAGAAAAGAAAAGCCTATTTTGGGAATGTGGCTATTGAGGATGACGACGAGGATGATGATGTCGAGGAAGAAGTGAATGAAGAGGAAGATGAAGAGAATGAAGGGAGTGTTGGAGGGAGTGAATTGGCTGCAGAAATAAGGGGTTTTGCGGAGAGGTTTATGAGAATGGAGAATAAGAAAATCGAGATGATGAAGGAGACAGAGAGGTATAGAATGGAGATGGAGAAAAGGAGAATGGAAATGATTCTTGAGAATCAGAGGAATCTGATTGATACTATTAATAGGGTCGTTGGATCGCATAAGAAAGTGAAGGTGGCTCAAGAATTTTGAACTCGTTCGTAACATTTCTTGGGATGGAGATAGTCTTTGATGCTAAAATGAATAAGAAAGTTCATCAGAGGAGATTGCATTCGACTTTCATGTGTTTGGCATAACACGATGTTCTTGTTTAGGGATATCTTCATGTTTCTAACGTTTGTTTCTTAATGATTCTTAGGAATAATTACAATTTATTTTGCTCTTTTAAGTAGGAATCTAGATTTGTTCTGTGGTAGAGTTCATATCTGCTGGAGGATTCAGTTTGTAGACAAGATTTAAATTAACATAAAGATATCCAGAATATCTGTAGTAGCTGTTGCACCAATAACTATGGAATAAGATGGATCCTTTTTCATTTTAAAGTTACTGATTCTTTCTTTCTGCTCATTTTCTAATAGGTTATGCTTTCTATTAGCATCTGCTGTGACATTCGAACTTGTTTGTATGACCCACAGCCCAGATCAAGAATATAGTTTCTGTATATGATTGGAGGGATCTTAGAATTGGGGACAGTAACTGTTTATGCTTTTTAAAAGTTCGGTTCTTGGTACCCTACGCGGTAGTATGATTTCACCTTGTGACACTGAGTTCTGATGCTTGCTTTAGACAATCTTACTTACAATCCAGTTGCCTAAACTTTTAGAGGAAGTGATTGTTAATTATTGCTCTTACTGCTAAATTTGCAGGCAGCTATTTACATCTCCTTGATATGGGATTAAGGATAGGTGGATTTTTCTCCATCTGCTATTTGGAATGGTGCTTTCTTGGAGTGCATATCATGTACTTTTTGATGTAACTCTCCTTTTATTTCTGGGCTACTTTTGTAGATTACGTTCTATGTTCAAAGATTATGCGCAAATGAATAAGTGAAATTAATGTGCAAGCTAGTCAAAGAGTTTAAATGCCATAATTGCTGACAGTTTTAGTAAGATCTTCAAGATTGCCTGGGAATTTAGATTTGACGTCCGAAATGTTTAAAGAGCAATGCACCAAGTTTCAAGGAGTTAAGCTGTTAATTATTTTACGAGGAAAATGTCTTTTTATAGATTTATACATCTTAGTTAATATGACTTTGCTGGAAGTCGGAATACAAATGTTTCACTGACCAGACTGGTAAGATAATGACAGATTCCTAATGATAAACAAATAACCTTTAAACAATCCGTCGAGTGGTGTGGCCTGTGAATTTGACAGTCATAAAAGTGAATTTATGTATCATAATATCTTCCCTGGCCCTGATATCCTGATATTAGTTGCTGGGAAGGAAGGTCTCAGATTTACCATTGGCATGCATGAGACTTTCTTCCTTTATGTCTACTGGTAATTCACTGAGCCAGTTCCAAAAATGGACCCTCGTTAAGATTAACAAGAACAATGTCTAATAGACCAAGATCCAATTCTGCGTACTTAGAGATCAGTCTTCCGAGGAGCTGTCCTATCTATATGCGCAATTGAATCCCGTTTCAAGATTTGCAATGCTAATAGGAAAATTACAAGAATTGCACAAGCTCCCAGGAGGGTGAGCAGTCATGACTGATGACTGTTATGACAAATATGAAGTATACACATGCCTAATATTTACAAGATTTTCCACAGCCTTTGGCCATAAAAATGATAGCTATCCCCTTGAATACAAAAAGGGCTATAATACATGGGATGATCTATGGGGACAAAATCAAATAGGACCCCCTCTAGTGAGCAGGTGGAACAAGAGGCTTGAAGAAAAATGAGAGGTAATTGAAGGGGGGGGGAGGGGGGAAAAAGAAGAAGAGAGAGAGCCTGTACACCTACCTCTACATCTGTCCCTACCCTTCCTGAGGCCTCTAGGGCAACAAATACTATACAAAACAGAAAATTTAAGCGGATGATCCTCTACGACAGCAAAACCTTGAATTTCACCATCTCGTCCTGATGTGATGCCCTCAGGCACAACGAGCTTCGTCTGAACAATAAAATAAGCAAGAATGAACAACTTATACTATATATTTTGCCATGTTGAAAATAGGATTAATCAAGAACCTAAATTATCTCAACCAAAAACTAGGGGAAGTATTAAATCTAAAGCCTCCTAAAGGCACATCACTACATTTAGACTTGTCTTACTGGGATCTGATCATATCAATCTTGCAGGTGTAAAGAATTGACATTAATTATGGTATTACGAGTAGAAAGTTATGTTTCTTTGAAAGCATTTCAAGTATGAGTTTTTTTTAACCTTTCGATATCAACACCAGCTAATCGAGACCAAATAAAAATTACCTGTAAATTCCTGTTTCAAAGGCATGCCGAAGGAATTGGCTAGTCGCGAAAAGAGCAATCCTTGATATTTTGAGTGTGCCTCAATCCGGTCTAGATTCGCTGTGTTTAGCAAACAAACTTCTATTCCCTGCTTGTAAAGCCTGATCTGAATGTTGCAATGGTGGCTGCTGCTGTAGTTGTTTCTGGTTTGACTGGGGCTGGGTCACTGGTGAGGGAGGCTGTAACTCGGAAGACTCTTGCTTCCATTGAACACTAGCATCAGGCCCAATAGGAGAAAAGTTTCCAGAAGATTGCCTTTGGCTTACCCCTTGGATGACTTCTGGTACTGTCTCGCTGCCAGCAGAATTTGTTGGTGGGGTCCCAATTGAATCAAATGATGGGACTGCAGCCTTCATTTGAGAAACCCCTGGGGCAGAAACCTCTGCGGCATTAGTTAAACTGTTGCAGTCCTGCGGGGGTGTTTTACCTATCTGTGAAGTGTCGCACATATTGTGTTGTTCACTTTGAGGTTCACAAGATTGCAACTTTGGTGGATCAGAATTCACTGACTGGTTCCGTTGCAGCCCCCCTTGCAGAGCTGCTTGACTTTGAGTCATCAACTTTGGCTGCAGTTGCACCTGCGGCTGTGGATGCATCAACATTCTGTGGTTGGAAGAACCTACAACCGAGGATGGAACAGATTGGTGGGGTGATTTAGGACCTAATACACCCGATGATGCAAGAGGTTGGATGGAGGGAATTTGCTGCTTTTTGGATGGAGGCACTTGGCCAGAATAAATCTTAGAGTGGGGTTGCTGCGTCTGACTCACCATTTGCTTTGCAGGCTGGACCAGGCTGCATCCTGGCCCTGAATACACTCCCTGACTTTGCAGTAACTTAGTGGTTTGCTCACCTTTCTCTGCAGATTGATTGACTTGCTCAGTAGGAAGGCCATCCAATAAAGAGGGATCAATCTGCATGTTCTGATGTGTCATCATTTTCCCTCTCCCGACTCCCTTCGAAACTTTAGATTGTTTTTGAGACTCTGACTGCTGGCGCTGTGGGAGATGGTGCCTGCTAGCATTTTGAAGCTGCTGCTGTCCTGTCTGATGTGGCCTTTGCTTGCCCATCTGAGTAGTTAAACTACTACCCCCAGTTTGTGCAGTTCGTCCAAGCCCATGAGCCGGAAATGGATGTTTTAGTTGATGCTGTGGCATTGGAGACACTGAGGCGGGGGATGCCAAAGGAGAATGTGATACTGGTGGAGAAGAAGATTGTGAAGTGATTTGAGGACTATTCTGCAATGAAGATGATACAGGAAGATGGGGCTGCGTATGTGAGAGTTGTTGCTGCTGCTGCTGTAAAAGCCGCTGTTGCAGGTGCCTCTCTCTAGCTAAGCGAATTGCATAAGCTTGATGCTGCGAGTTCGTGGCATGACTGGCCCCTTGAAGATGAGGATGATGAGGGCTATGCACAAGTGACTGCTGTGAAGATATAGGATGTGGTTGCTGATGATGAAGTGGGCGTGATGAAACAGGTGAGAGGGCAGTCTGGTTAGGGAAAGAGGAACTTAACCCACCAAAAGGAGGGACTCCTTGGCTGTTTCCTTTCTGGAGCTCAGGAATTTGCCTCTGAGCTTCCTGATTCTGTGAAGGCTGCAAAAGCAGAACACATACAGTGTCATCAAACCAAAATCCCAAGGAGGTGAGAGTTAAAAGTATACAAGCAGGGAATGCATCAGATTACAGTTCCGAGAATCAGATATACAAACTATACCATCAGGGAGAGCAGAAAATGCAGAATACTTATGTCGAGCAACAATATGAAGATTATAGAAGAGCAAAATATGTCACAGGACACTAAAAAGTAAAAACTACATCCCTTCAGTATATAAAGGTGGATCCACTCTCCAATGAAAGTCATAAAATCTGCATCCAAGGGTATGGCCTAGTGGTCAATAAAGTGGGTGAGAACCATGAGGTCTCAGGTTAAAATCCCAGCGGAAGCAAAAACACTAGGTGATTTCTTCCTATCTGTCTAAGTCTGCCTTAGTGGATAGAGTTATGTTGCCGGTAGGGGGTGGCAGGTATCCCATGAAATTAGTCGAGGTATGCATAAGCCTTCCTGGACACCACGGTTATCAAAAAAAATTAGTCTCATAAAATATAAGATTCTCAGTGGGGCTCATCTAAATCTAACTGCCTTCACCTTCTCCATATTGTTTTTTCCTGATGTGGCAACAGCTTGATTTTTAACAGCATATCCTACCCCTCCTTTGCTCTCCGCGAGAATCCCCAAAAAGAGCTCCACTTTTCAATGGGCATTAATCTATCAATTGTAAATGAACCTAATCGACAAACAATTCACATTGCAGGACATTCATGCTGGTCTAATTAAACTTCTTCAATTCACATGTTGTTCAACACGATCATTTAGACCCAGTTATAACTGCTTCAACAGTGTAAACCAGCTGAAACCATGTTTCACATGGTAACACTGGTATACTTAGGCTTGCCAGTTAAATAAGCCAGGCCAAAGAGCATACTGAACGCACAGATGTGTTTTCTATAAATTTATACTTCTTCCGTTATAAATTTATACTCTCCGTTTCAAAAAGAATGAACCTATTTGACTGGGCACGGAGTTTAAGAAAGAACTGAATACTTTTGAAACTTGTGGTCTAAAACAATCCATAGATATTTGTGTAGCTATAAATCATTTTATTAAGGGTAAACTGGGAAGTTTAAAATTACATTGTTTCCAAATTTAGAAAGGGCTCATTCTTATTGAAACGGGCTAAAAAGAAAATAGGTTCATTCTTTTTCAAACATGGGAAGTAACAACAACAACAACAACAACAACAACTACCCAGTAAAATCCCACATAGTGGGGTCTGGGGAGGGTAATGTGTACGCAGACCTTACCCCTGCCCCGATAGGGCAGAGAGGCTGTTTCCGATAGACCCTCGGCTCAGAAAGACGGAAATAAAAAATAAGAAAAGAGAATTCATTAGTAACTCCAGTAGAAACCGTTATAGTAACAGAAGCATAAAAACCAAAAGATGAATGACATGCAATAACAGTAACCAGAGTCTGAGGCCCGGGGCTAAGATAAACAGCAAGAATAGTGTGG